GAAAGCTTGGGAAGACAGCAGCCAGCAAACCAAGCATCATCTGCAGTGCCATCAGGACAGACCTCCATAGGTGAGCCAGCTGAAGTGACCTCCCATTGTTGGTCCCTTCTGCAAGGGCAGACCCCGTGTCCCCACAGAACAGGGACTGCTCTCTAAAACCTCGTGGTAAAAGCAGGAAACGTTGTTTGTGACCTCCCATCTCTAAGGAAGGTCCCTAGAAGAAGCGTTTTTGGAGCACCATCCTAGTACTCTGTGGCAAGCCACGGGTCTCAGAAACCACCAGTGGTTTGGTCATCATTGTCCCAGGTACAGCACAGCATGGCTGTGTCCCAGAAAAGTAACCAGCATCCTGGGAGTAAAATGAACTGGAACACCAGTGCTCCTTTTCTTTATCTTATATCACACTAGAACAAAGAATATTTAGAAGATAAGTCATTTTCTCTCTTCTTAGAAAAGTCTTCTAAGACCCCTGTGATACTCAGGTTGATGATGATGAAATATGACATAGAGATTTTCACTTACAGAAAGGAAACATGGGTGTGTCACATTTTCTAAAATCTTGACAAGTAACTTACCTTTGTAGATGACACTGATGACATAGGAACAAACAAGTCAAGCCATCCAGGATATTCACCAGAACTGGTTTGCAATAGAAAGCAGTTCACAGAGAGAGTCAAGTGGATGGAGCCATCTCAGTGTCACCTATTTTTTAACAGCTTAGAGCATTCCCAGCTCTTTCCATCTAACATACTATGAGGCATCTTAAAATATTCTGGGTTAGAATGCTATGTGAATGTACCCTCGAGCATCCTCAAAGGATTGCTGCGGCTCAATATCTGCTTAAAACACTATGCCTTCTTGCCTTTTTTTTTCCTCTCCTGCTTGGGGCTAGACAGAGTCTGCTTGTTTATTGAAAAGAGCAATATGCTTTTCAAAACCCCTTGAGTATTGGACCCTTCAGTCCAGCCTCGACTACTAATTATGGTCCTAAATGCAGCTCGTGTCCCTTGCAATGGGCAAGACCTCTTCTAATTAAGTTCCAGAGTTTCTGCTCCATATCCATAATCTTTTGATCCCTCATGCTGTGGACTTTGCCTTTTTTTGGCAAGCTTTTCACTCAGATTGGTGAATCTCTATGAACCTCTTGTTGCACTGCTACATTCACCTTACTCCCATCCTCAGATAACACATTCCATCTACTTATGTGAACTTCAGAGGGTCAAAACTTAGCCTCTTACTTCTGCTTCCTACTCCCAGTATGGTATCTTTTCTATATCTCTCAATAGCAGAAGCATCCTTCATGTTGACTAGTAACAGGTGATCGGTTGGGAACAACACCTGTTTATAGTACAATACAGAAATTTTTTCCATTCATGCTTTGCCCTTTGTCCAACAGCCTTGAGCTAAAGGCAATTCTTTGGCGCAACTATTGATTTTTTATTTTTTCCCCCCAAAATAGTACGAATGGAGCTCAAAATAGGTTATATAAAAATTTAAATACATAAAAAAATATATATATAAGTTTCTCTCTAAGCACCAGGACCATGCAGGCACTTCGCTACCTCTTTTCATAGAATGGCTCAACATGGCACACATACTCTGAAGTGTCAGGTATGACGAATGTCCGTGTGCACTCCAAGACACAGCATCACATGGTACCAGGGGAACACAATATGTTTGGGCCTTATCACAAAATGTACATGACATCAAAGCTTGGGAATCATTGAAGATCTGACAGTTAATAGCAGATTTTTTTGCACAAATGGAAGATGCTGTCATCCAAAGGATGATTTTAACTAGTTTGCATATAAGCAGTCTTCTATAGGACAGACAGGGGTGCCAATTTAAACTCAGTATTTTCATGAAGGACTTTAAGTAGTTTCCAAATACAAAACTAAAAGCTGTTCTCGCTAATCTGCTTTCCATTCTGCACTATGGAATGAGTTACTCATAACATATTAACAGAAAGAATTTCAAGAATGCAAACAGAATTGTGACAGTGCTGTAGCTGACTGTCACCATGGAAAATGTTTCTCCAAGTTCAACTTTCAGTCAGTGCAGGACGTTCAGGACACAACACCGTTGTGGCGAAGAGAGGTTTTTCTTTCACCTGCACTTCAGCTATAATGAAACACACAACAACAGAGAGAGGAGCGAGAGAGAGAGATGGCAGATACACTGAGAACCTGCAGCGTAGATAATCAAACCCTTTATTGTCTAAGTTACATTAGACTTGCAACACCATAAAAACCTGTTAAGAAGAGGAAACAGTAGATTGGTAGAGGTAGTAGAAAGTCCCTGTAACAGTCATAAAAGAGCTTTTACAGGAGTGTATCATGCCAAAGAACTTATCACGTCGTTTAAAGGAGCTGATCAAAGCCCATTGACTAAATAAATAAAGAACACAACTCAATTTTAAATACTACGGCCTAGCTAAAATAACAAATCAATACAATACAACGATAAAGAAAAAAGAAGAAATCATGGGAGTCATTTCAGAAAACAGATGGTCTTTAGGGTTGGCTTTCTCCCACCCACTCTTATTTGTGGTTTAATTAAGTGAAAATCTCATTTCTGTGCTATACACAGCATATAATTATTTAAACTGATTTCCCCTACTGTTGTTCTTCATGTAGCTAAATCATGATTGTAAACTTTGCTGATTAGTACCCTGGTAATGGCGATGACAGCACTGGCTTCTCTGTCAGATATTTGGAAGAAAAGCTCCAGAAAAAAAGCTTTGGGCTCTAAATGTTAACTAAGATTTTCTGTTATCAACTTGCAAAAAAAAATTAAAATAAAATAAAAAAGAAAGAAATTACAAATGTACGCTACGCTTTTTGTGCCATTTTGGGTACACAAGAGTTTTTAATAACTAAAACACAAACAAATAGGCTAAGCAACTAGCTTCTGTGCATTCCTGAACCATCACCATTATTTCCATTCATGGAAAACATGACTCAGAAAAGCAACAAAACAAAGAATAAAACCAAAAAAGAAACTAATAATAATAATAAAAACAAATGAGAAAGCTAGTGCAAACCCAAAATGATAATCATTAAGCAACACAGCAAAATATTTCTCTTTTTTTCTTTTCTTTTCTTTCTTTTTTTTTTTTTGGTGTACAATGGAATGTGTCTATGCGACTTCCCTCAGCATAACTTCACAGAACAGTTAATTACAGTCACTTGTAAGCATTTGCACAGACATTCCTAACTACACCAAGACTTACAGAGAATTCTGGTATATATCTGGTGTAATGGTATAAGGAAAAACTAATAAAAAATACACAACAGACTTAATTTGCATTGTTGCAAGTGTTGCAATGTAACAAAAACTGTCAAGTAATTTAAAACAAGTAATAAGAAGTATCCAGAACCAATTACCAACTAGATTTTCTCTTTAAAAAAGCAACCCTTCCCCTCCCCCCCCCACCCACCAGAACTGTTAGAACAGAAAGATCACGCTTTAAAGGGTATTTTTTTTGTATTTTTGTTTGCTTTTTTTTTAAAACAAATCTTTGTGTCAGAAGCCCTACAAAAACAGCACTATTCCATTATTGTATTAAGTAAACTGTTGCTCTCACCTGTAGTAAAGGTTAGCATCATTTCTGTACATGTAAAATTATTGCTTTTTTGAAAAATATATTTAGCATGCTAAGTTTTTTTTAATTCCATTTCCTGCCTTTACAAAATGTTACAATTAAAAAAAAAAAACAAAAACAAAAACACAAACCTAGTAAAGCTTTTGCAAAAAATTTTCACAGAACGTTTTCTTTCAAGGCAGCAGTAACTTTTGATAATGCATAAAATTATATGTGCAAAATCTGAAAGTCTCAGAACTATTACCATCACACATAGTGTCACAGCAATAAGGAAAGAAAATATTTATATCTGTGGAATACATTTTAATTGCTTACACTGCATGGTTAACAACCTGTTATGTGCCACAACCCCACCTTGGAAACTTGCAGTTAAAGAGTTACTGTAGAAGAGGTATATAAAGCTTTTTTTTTTTTTTCTTTTTCCCCCTCGTAACACCACCAGTGATCACCACGTACAAGACATGACACATCGTATGAACATTAACCTGCCACCACAACAGAAGGACCTCGTCTTCTCGGAGTGTGGCTGGGCCCAGGGAGGAGCAGAACAGCTTCGGGCTGAGGCACTCCGTGACGCCTTCTCCATTAGCAACATATGGATGGGTGGCGTTAGACAGCTGAGCAGGTCTATTTATTTAATTGTTTGAAACGTGAAGACTTCCTTTGTGATCAGGTCGAAGAAAGTAGCCCTGTTACAAAAAAGGTCCTGAGAGTAAAACACAGAAGCCTGTTTTTCTTAGTGTTCAACGAGCTTTTCTTTTCCCAAACAGAATAGAAGCTTTTCTGTGGAAGTGTTTCCATTTCCATATTCACATACTATTAATGGTGCGCAGTCAAGAACAAGAGCACTAGAAATGCAAGTGGTCCCCAAACTGTAATGAAACAAACCATTGCAGAGTGACGGTCTTTCTCTTTAGTCCCTTTAATCCTTCATCAAGCATTGCTTTCTCAGCACCGAATGCCACCTTCTTCCCACACCCCCCTTCTTCCTCTCTCTCTTTTTTTTAATTTGCTTTTCAGCATGACAGGCAGTGGCAGTTTCATTAATTAATACTTCTCCAGCCCTCGAATCCACTGCTGTTTTTCAAATGTATCAAATAGTCACTGTGAGCATCGGGGAGGTTTTTGTTACAGTGCTTAACTTCTTCATGCTGTCCAAATCACATAAAGTTTAATTTTTCCAGTGTCTCAAACTTCTCTTGATTAATATAGATGCCTTGTGCTGCCACGGCGCTTGCCAACTCCACTGTTTATTATAAAGGAAATAAGGAACCATGGGACTGATTAGTACGTCAATTTATATATATCTCGTGTAGCATCTTCATTTATTTCCCAACGACGAGCGGCGCGGCGGCACCCCCTGCTAGCAGAGCGTGGTGCCGCTCCCAACGCCGCGCAGCGCTGCCGGCCAAGGCGATGATCCGTGCTCTGCAGGGACGCCAGGATGCCGGCGGGGCGGGGGCTGCGGGGGGCTCCTGGGCTGAGGCTCTAGGTGCCCTTGTGGAGAGGCAGCGTGTGGGCAATGTCGGCGCCGGTGTGATCTCTGTCCTGTAGGAAGGAAAGAGGGAAAAGCTCATTCTCGCCTCCTCGCCTTCCCTATTGCACCTGCATGAAGCGTCCGGCCCTTCTGGTGCTCCTTCCCTCTGACTAGTGTCACGCATTTGTCAGCCCCTATAGGGTCTTGGACAGACGAGAAGAGCAAGGGATGGAGCCGCTCAGAAATGTTAAGAACATGGAGGAATGCTCCTCCAAAGAGGGCCAAGAGGGGTTCATAGCCCGATGACAGCTTCACAGAGGCTGAACTTGGAGGTGATAGAGGCAACTCAAAGAAGAACAACCGAATTATCGTGCAGGTCTGTCAAAAGCTAAGAAGGCTCTTTCCTTCCCCTCGTCATCTTCCTTTGGGTTTTTGAGCCAATTTTAATGAATAATTACCACATGGAAAAAATAGAAGAGATATTCTGAAAATCAAGTGAAATTAAAGATAACATCATGAATAAGTGGGAGCCTGCAGCTTCTGAGAAAGGCTTTAAAATGACATTTAGAACATCACTGTCGGAACAATGGAGTTTACAATCTTGATCCTAAAACAACATGGCAAGATTAATCTTACATAAATGCGCTATCCTTAAGCTAAAGCCTTGATGAAGCGAAACAGACCATTTTAAATTAATGCAACATAAAATACGGCACCCATGTAAAATCCAAGCGTGTTTCAAGCTGTGCCTATGGCAGCCCTAGAAATAGCTGAAGAAAGCCCAGCTCTGGTTGACATAATGTATTAAGTGCATCTCTTTTGTTAATAGATTTAGAAAATTCCTAATTAAACCTGGCCTGAGATTCATGACATTTACCAGTCAAAGTTTGGTTTAAGTCGGAAAGATTTGCAACAAAATTAAAGAAAAAAAAAGCCGCTGTACAGACCGCAGTATATTTGAAATGTAGGAAACAGTAACTGAATGAGAGATGTGATAAAACTTCCTTAGTTGGATGCTGAATTTCCTGCAGTAAACTAAGAAAGATGCTTTACATTTTTGCACGGCTATATCATGCCTGAGAGACAGAGCCACAATTCCGAGTGGGGGCATTCATCATTAAAACCTCTCGCACGGAACCAGACCCACGGACATGGGGGAGCATGGCAGGCTTCCTCCCAGCTGTAAGAGGGGGAGGGAGGGGGGACGGGCAAGAGCTGACAAAGAGGGTGATAGGGGCTGCTGCTCTGGGGCAGCACACACCCACAGAGCATCAAGGATATGTGAAAGGGAAGATTTATCACTTTTCCACCCGGCAGGGATGTAAAGAGGGTCAGAAATGTTTCCCCATTGTCATGCTTTGAATTGGAGAAATCCTCCTCCTCGATGGGGAGGAAGGCTTTCCTGCAGCAGCACTAGTGAGAGGGAGAGCTGAAGGCTTCAGAGCTCAGCTGAAAAACTGCACCAGCAAATGGGAGCTCCTAGAGAACACTAGCAAAAGGACAGCAAAGAAAGCCTTCCAGAAATCACTTCTCCATAGCGGAGGTGCTGAAGGCTGGTGGAGGTGAAGATGATGACCCTGGGCAGGAGCCTACCTTGGGGCACTCCATTCCACCAGGAAAAGATACCTGAGCTTTCTGATGGCAAAAGTGGCTCCCTCCTTTGCATCCATGCCCACTCATGGAAAAAAAGGGATGTCCCTCAGTTTCAACCATACAAAGTAGGACGGAGAACACATTTTCCAGTAGATTGAAAGTTATCTCTAAGCCTTTGCGTTTGTGATTGTTAGCAATGCAGTCAAGTTCTGAATCAAGTTTTGAGCTTTTCTGTAGAGGAAATCTTCAGCTTCCATAACAAAAGCGGTTTCAGTACAGAGTTTTAGAGCATTACACCAGATAACTAGAAAAGGAAAAAATTAGTTTGTGTGCATTTTAATGTATTGGAGATAGATGATCGCATGACATCGAAATAAATTACAATAATCATTTTGGACCGTGAGCACCTTTTCAATTTGTTGGCAAGGGGAAAAGACTTACAGCAGCTAATCTTGTCTACTGCGTTCCTAACCTGGCGGGTTCCTGGCGCATGCATATTACTCAGAATCCAGTACAGCAGCCTCTATGATTCCTTGATTGTTTGCATTATAATCTCCATATGTATGAACGAGACAAATTAGGTTGCCATTTATTTGTTCATTATCTATTATTTTGATTAATGGAATTCTTGTTCTCAGAATAACTATTTAAAAATAACATTTGCAATAATGAAGACTGAACTATTAATCATGATCTTTAGAAGAAACTCAGCAAGGAACTGGGGCAAGACATTTTGTATGAACAAATGTCATAAATAGGACTTCTAACATACAGTGCTAAAACTTCAAATGAAAAAAAAAAAAAACACAAATACAACGCTAACAGTTTAAATAACTTTTTAAAATATATATTTTATTTTATTTTTCTCCTCCTCCTCTCCCTCCAGTTGATTAAGGACAAGCAGGGCTGTGCTGTAGTTTGGCCTACAATCCTATTAGAGGTAACAGAGGTCCCCAGCCTTTCCTTCAGGCTTCTTTGCAACACATATATTGTTTTCTTGATGATGGTTTCTTCCAGTCTATCACTGAAATTCTAGCTTTTCACATCATTATCTTATGTGGGTATTGAGCATTACAACCAATGATTTTAAATATTCATAGTGGAAAAAGCTAAAGCTCACGGGCTCCTTAATGAAGGTGTTGTGCTCCTGTCACAGAGGCTCTGCTGTATCTCTAGTTCTTTTGCAGAAAAAGAGTGCCATTGCCTTCTGGAACGTGGAAAGCTTTAGCCACAGATATCCATGATACCAACTGTTAACTTTCTTTCCTGGCCTGTAGCTTTTCCTTGATCTTCTGTGAGCAAAAGAATGCTTTTCTGGAGAGGGCAGAGGTTAGAATTTTGGGGTTTCTGCTTGCTTCATTTGAGCAAAAAGCAAATTGGCAGAGAGAGATTCAGCATCTTTGGCTCCAGCACTGTAAATATGCTTCACACACATGTATATTCTCAGTTAGAGAGAATGCTGCTAACCAGCAAGCTATGCCTTTTGAAAATTCAATTACTTGTCTTTTAAAAAAATTTAGATCATATTGTTTGACACAGCAGTGATAAACTATATCCCTAAAGTAGGATAATGTTTTTATATGTTTTTTTTAAATGATTAAGATAAACATGAGGCACATGCATTAAAAACTGCCACCAATGATAGTATTTTGCAAAAGCAGACTATGGACTAATCCTTGTGCTACTGAATGCACCTGGGAGCTGGGCTTCTGGCTGCAGTGCCGCAGCATCAGGCTGTTCCTATGCAATAATCCCACGCTTTAGGATAGCTTTCCTTCAAGATCTGAGTTGGTTTTGAGATTTGTGCTGTAGCAGGGGCCCGTCCGAAAGGGAACCAGCTTTTGTCATGCTACGTATAAGCAACTGGAGTGTGCTTTCTCAGAATTCACACTTACTAAATCAGGTCTTTTGATGCTGCTTAGTGTATTCCAAATATTAAGATACATATTCATAGTGGATAAATAAGCTTAATTATGGATATATTGGGATATTTAGCATTTATAAAAATATTCAGAATATTCAGTATGTTTAATATGGCAGCATTTCAAGAGGATTTGCAAGACTCTGCACAGATTGTATTGACTTGGGGTATAGAATAAGCATTTTTTGTCCTTTAGAAAAAGAAGACTAGGAAGCATTCTGGAGTTCAAGAGAAATTCATTTGGTGAAAATTTTTGTTAAGCATTTGGGTAGAAGAGAACACAGAAATTAATGTTACGAGATACAAACAAAATGTAGGAAATAAGGTATATATTTCACTGGTGCAAATGCCAAAGCATGAAGTGCAGACTAATGCTGACATTACCAACATTAGGTGTGCATGGCCCTCTCTACACTCCCCTATAGGTGGCCTACTTTTCAGTGCTGCCGAACACCTGCATCTCCTCTGGGTGGTTCATTACCCTAAAGTAGGCTTCCTATTTGAACACCTAAATATAGACCTGACTGGCTCACCTTTGAAAAAGCTGTAGACTCTATTTTTAACACATGGAATTAAAATTATTCCATGAGAAAACTGCTATATAATGCAGCGCTGTTGTAAGCTACTATATTGGGGAATTTTAAAAGCCCTACGTAACTTTCTTTTATAAGGGAAACCTTTAGAGATGATCTTCTCTGACTACTGAAGGGAATGGGGGAACTGTGAAATACTAATATTAATATTTTTACTCTTTAGCTGACTACTCAAGGGAAGATATTTCACCTGTGAGGAGGAAACATTATGTAAAGTGAATCATTTCCACTTAACATTAAAAAAAAAAAGCCTCATTCTAAAGTTACTGAATGTGCTAACTATTGTTTCTTGCTTGAAGCATGTGCGTGGCACTCCTGTAACTCGAACTGACTTTACACTGTAAACTCTCAAGAATAGATCTGTCCCCAATTAAGAAATGAAATGAAGACACGGAGTGACAATTTTTAAAGTGGGAAATTGTAATGTTACCAGAGTGCTGCAGGCATTGTTCCTGGTGCAAACTACTTCCCGTGCTTCTAAAGGTCCCTGCAGCTGCGGGTAGAGACAAATGTATTCCCTCGCTGAAGCCCAGGGACTGTGCAGGTGGAGGCTTCTGGGGGAGTGCAAAGCCTGCTTGCAGTGAGAACAAGGAAAACAGCAGACAACCGAATAATCCTAACTGACACAGACACTGACGAACTGAGACAAAGGCTGATATATTAGAGCAAACAAGACAAAAGAAAGGAAACTGTCTCACAGAAAAGTGATCATACTGCTGCTTCTGTGAACGAAATACCGATGGGGAAGAAACAAAGTGGTTCACGAGCCCAACCTCTACCCGGTATTCTAGTGGGTCGAAAGATGCTGTAATTTAATCAAATGCTTTGAAGACAGATTGATGTGGACTGAGTCTGGAACAGCAAACTACATTTGCTGTGGAAGAAGTCAGTCAATAAATTCTGCTGTAGCAGTTTACTAAGACAGAGTCATGAGTAAATTTGTTGTTCATAAATAAATACAACACAATTTTTAAGAAGAGTCCAACTTAGCTTCCACATCTCTTTTTGGTAGATATGGCCATTAAGTTTTTGGAAATATATTTCCAACTGTGATCTTACATAGTCTTTTAAAGCAAGACGTGCAAAAACTGTAACACTAAATTCAGAAATTGATTTCAACTATATAAGAAACAATCAATCAGCATGAAAAGATAAAGAGCATTTTTAAGATGTTTAGGTTTACTAAATCTACATCACTAAACTGATGAGAACCAAAGAGTGGCTAGGCTAGTTTGCAGCACTGCAGTGTTCTGCCCTAACATATTCTTCTACTAAGAGGGATGTCCTAGCACAATTTGATGCATCATAAAAACAGCATTTTCATCTAGTTCTTCAACTAGAACAGAACTCAGCTGCTACTGTCCCATAAAACCTAAATGAGCATTGCTCAGAACAACAAGTACTTGAAAACTTCATGAGGAGAGCTGTTGGCCACTCATAAGACAGGTCAGATATTCTGGTAGCAGAGTACTCTGGTTCCCAGAGTAGCCTCCAGGGCAGAAAGAAGCAAAGATAGCAGAGAAGACATGAAGGATTTCCACAAAGGGTGCAGCACATGACCTAAGCAATGTGGTGGTGCCTGGTGAGGATGTCTGTCGAATAGGTTGAAACAGCTCCTCATCTTCATGAAGGTAGAACTAGTATTGAGTTCCGTTTTCTAAGCATGGCCATAATAATTTGTAATTGCTTACTAAGAGACAAGAGGAAAGTCATAAAAAATTGTCTGTAGTAAAATAATATTAAAAACACGACAGGAGATGTTGGAGGCGGTTCCATATGAAAGAAAACTGCCCATGAGAAGATATGCCCTGAAACCCACCTGCCAACCTTGAAGATGGAGTGGGAAGGTTCACATTATGACAGTGATATCCAAAGATACGGGATATACAAAATAAATTCAGTTTAGTGGTTTTCTAAGTAATAGATTTCTTATGTATAATTCAGAGTGCTGAGAAGTATTTGTTAAGACAGGAAACACATTCTGAAAACAGGAAAGCAACGCCACCTCAAGAAGTCCACATAAAGTGGGAGATAAGCCTTTGAGAGATTAGATACTGGCTGTTACAGTATGAATACTCTTCAGAAAAATACAGTCCAAGTGCTAATTGCATTGTTGCAGCAAAAAGCATGTTAGTTGTAAAAGCAAATTATTCCTAGAAATTCTTTAAATACCATCTCGCTATTTTGTATCACAGTACATTACAGTGCTAGCTATCCCACCCACTCTCCAGTAAGCCAGTAACATGTTTATTTAAACACTAACTACTTGATCTACAATTAACTGACTCTATATAACAGACATTGACAAAACGCTTAAAAAATTTAAGAGCTAAATATCAAGCAACACCATTATTATTTATACATGCTATAAAACAGTCAGTGCTTTACTGATGAGTATCACCATGCAACTTTTTCCCAGCTACCACATTAAAAACCAAACATCCAATTAATTGTAAAACATACTTGTTTTGGGGCATCTGCGGAGGTGGTGTGAACTTCAGTACCTCGGAGTCCATTAGACTCAAACACCACTGTGGGAACAAGGGGGGTTGTTAACAGATGAACATTCAAGCTTCGTTAGTGTGTGTACATTATTTGAGACCATTACAGATTAACCACGTTCAAAAAAAGACACCAGCTACTAGCCTGTGGCCGGAAAATACCAATTTACCGTAACACTTACTGTAAGAGAGTGTGCTAATGGCAGCCTAGGGCCACTGCCCTTTTTAATTCAGACTTCAGCGCTGAAGAAAGCAATCACTGACAACATTAATTATCGGTGTATGTGTAAAGGGACCCTCTTCTTGCATTACTTACCATTTGGCCTCTGTCATTTTGCATCAGACTGGCTTATGTATGCATCATTCACACTTCTCAGAGAGAACCCGCTAGTCTCACTGTCTCGTGCGATGCTCAGGAGGCAACAATCCGGCTGGCTCTGTCCTCCCCCAGCTCAGCAGCAGGCTGTGCCAGGTTAAAAACCCGCTGCTGAAGGCTGCTGTTTTTGGGACTGACCCATCTGAGGGAAATCTCGTTTCCCACAAAAATGGTCCTGTCAACAGCAATGATGAGGCAAAACAAAGCCTTATGTTCTGCTGAAAGGAGTACTTTGATTTCAATTTGTGCTGGTGGCAACAGAATTCATTAGCATATTCATTTCTGAGTACCCTACTCTCTAATTAAAATAAAACATTTGCAAACAGACTTATCTTAAATGCATTGCAATTTTATGGAGTTCGGGCGGGGATCAGGTAAGCAATATCCAGAGAACAAGAGCAATAGTCGTAAAAATAAAAACCTGTATACTAGATTTAGGTATTGGAATTACTGAGGTTAGCGTAGTACAGGAAACGTAATTCTTGGCATTTTGTCAGCTGAATCTGAAAGAAGGCAAGCGAGAAAGGAAGAAAGCAACAGCAAGTGTGAAAATGTACCTGTGTGGGACCTCTGATGAGTTCTGAGGTGACTGGGTTGGTTAAAGCATTTTCCACATTCCCTGCAGACGCAGTCTCCTTGGCGTGTTTGTGTCCTAAGCATCCCTGTAGTTGATAGGGAGGAGGGAAGGGAAGGAGACAGGGAGGGGGCGGGGGAGAGACGAAAGTTGAGAAGAAAACATTATGCCAGAAGAAAACATCATTAGTATGTCTAATGTGTCATTATGTGAGACTACCTTCAGGCCCTGGATGACAACTGTCAGCCTTCATCTAGGCACCAGCTGACAGGCCAGGCACACACAGGACTGCAAGAATGCATAAATTACATTGAATTAAAAAATGCTCCCCATGATGTGCCCGCACCAGGACTGGCATGTCAGGTGTGCGCTTTTCAGAGCAGCTGGATCCACTTTTCAGCTATCACCCAGCTTTGTCAAGCAGTACATCAGGCAAATCAAAGTGACTCCAGCGTGGCGGAGACAAGTCACATGGATAATAGGAAGTGAGTAGGACCAGAGCCCGACTGTCCCCCCCGGGCGGCAATACCTCAGAGACAAATGCAGAGTGAGTGGAGCCATCACAAACTGATCAAACCTTTAGCCCCTGCCTACCTGCCTGCCGGTGCTGCTTTGACCCCGGAGCTCCGAGGCACAGACGAAAGACATCTGTGAATGAAAGTGTCATTCCGGACATTTTGAGCTAGTCGGGCACAGCAGCCTTCCTCCGGCCCTCGGTAAACATGTTTTCTAGGCCATTAGCATTTGTGGAAAACCGCTCAAACCTCTCCTTTTTCTCCAAAGGTCAGTTTACAGTATCTGACTTAAAGGGCTGGTCTTTGTCTTTTTGCTGCTGATCAAAAAAGACACATTTGACTTTTATTGGGCTTTTTTTTTTAAAAAAAAAATGGCTGAACATCATCTTTTCTATTTTGGTAAAGCGCCCTCCTCAGAAGGGAAGAGTTGATGTTTTCATTTGCCACTGGAATACTTTGGCTTTTAAAGACATTCTCAGGGGGTTGTCAGCAGAAATGAAGTTTGAGCTTTTCCTTTGTTTTGCTTTGCATTTTTTTTTCTCCTCTTCCTGTTAAGGCATTTTAGAAGAGTAAAACTGTGAACAAAAACAGTGCCGGTGAAGAAAACAAACCAACAAACAAATACCAAAATCAACCGCAAGATGCCAGAGGGCCCATCCAAAATACAGACTGCTGTACCTCAAATGTGAATGCAAAAGGAGATGGGCTGCCGCTAACTGTGCTTGTAAAAAAACAAGCATCCTATGATGGCTTTTGCCATAACATAGATTATGAAGAAACTGTCCTGGCTAAGGAAAGAAACAAAACAAAACAAAACCGACCAAACCAAACCAAAAATCCTATGGCTGTTTTCTACTTCTATAATAGCACCTCCTGTAGATGGCAGTACAGTCTCTATAATGTAACTGAACAGATACATCTCCAAAAAGTTTCTGGCAGACAAAAATCAGCTCGTGACTGAGACACAAATCCAGACTTGTCACACAGACACAAACACAACAGCTCTTTGAAGCCCAGGAGACTTGGGTTTCTCAGGTGGCTTTCTGAGACCTCTGTGAATCACAGATTCATTTGAGTTGGAAGGGGCTATTAAAGATCATCCAGTCCAACTCCCCTGCAATGAATGGACACCTACAGCTATATCAGGGTGCTCAGAGCCCACTCCAGCCTGACCTTGAGTGTCTCCAGGGATGGAGTTTCCACTATCTCTCTGGGCAACCTGTTCTAGTGAAAGACAAATATCACAGAATCACAGAATCACCGAATCACCAGGGTTGGAAGGGACCTCAAGGATCATGAATCCCCAACGCCCCTGCCATACGCAGGGCCACCAACCTCCCCATTTAATGCTAGACCAGGCTGCCCAGGGCCCCATCCAATCTGGCCTTGAACCCTTCCAGGGACAGGGTATCCTCAACCTCTCTGGGCAGCCTGTTCCAGTACCTCTCTGTAAAGAATTTCCCCCTGACATCCAACCTAAATCTCCCCTCCCTCAACTTAAAACCATTTCCCCTCGTCCTGCAGTTATCTACCCTTTCAAAGAATTGATTCCCCTCCCCTCTGTAGGTTCTCTTTAGGTATTGAAATGCTGCAATGAGGTCACCCTGCAATCTTCTTTTCTCCAGGCTGAACAAGCCCAGCTCCCTCAGCCTGTCTTCGTAGGGGAGGTGCTCCAATCCCCTGATCATCTTTGTGGCCCTCCTCTGGACCCTCTCCAACAGCTCCCTGTCTTTCTTGTACTGGAGGCTCCGCACTTGGATGCAGTATTCCAGATGGGGCCTCACAAGAGCAGAGTAGAGGTGAACAATCACCTCCCTGTCCCTGCTGGCCACCCCTCTTCTGATGGAGCCCAGGATACCGTTTGCCTTCCAAGCTGCAAGGGCACACTGCTGGCTCATATTAAGTCTTTCATCTATCAAGACCCCCAGGTCCTTCTTCACAGGGCTGCTCTCAAGGACCGCTCCTTCCAGTCTGTAGGGATGCCTGGGATTCTTCTGGCCCAAGTGCAAAACTCTGCACTTTGCTGTGTTGAACCTCATCAGGTTCATCCAGGCCCACCTTTCTAGCCTCTTGAGGTCCCTCTGAATGGCATCCCTTCCTTCAACCGTGTCGACCGCACCACTCAGCTTGGTGTCGTCAGCAAACTTGCTGAGGGTGCACTCAATTCCGTCATCGATGTCATTGATAAAAATGTTAAAGAGCACCGGTCCCATGACAGACCCCTGGGGGATGCCACTCGTTACTGGATATATGCTCTTCTCCAACTTTCCATATTACCACACACTCTGAAGCAGAAAATGTTTTTTTCTGCTATCAAGTAACAGAAAAATCTGACCTGTCTTCTTGTTTATACCACCACAGTAACCCTGTTGCATTCAGAAACATTGAGGCTCATTTCCTCCTCCATCCACACGCACAACATGTGCACCCTGGTGAACACAGCTCCCCACCCAGGAACCAGGGCAGATGAGGCATTAGTAACAAGCTCTGAAGCAGCCCAAAAGTTGTCCCAGCAGCATTCATGGAAGCACACTTCCCATCTCATGTTTTTAGGAGGGAAGGCTGAGAATTGCTGTTGTAAGCCAAAGTGCCCAAATGCAGAGGTGAATGGATCAGCCCTTTTATCAACCCCCTCCCTGGCAGTTACTTAATGGCAGTTATCTTAAAACACAGGTGGAAAAAGGGAGATAGCATCAAGGTATGGTTGCCATTGTTGTATATCCTAAGGACACCATAAGGCTTTTGATACTCCAGAGCTTTGTACTCTGGGCATCACTGCTGCAAGTAATAGTCCCATGATTCAGCACTCAGGACACACTCCTTACAGGTGAACAAAAGATGCTGGATATCCGGCTGCAAGTATCAGTGAATTCAAGTAGATGAGGGCGACCATGTGAATGAGAGCTCCTGTGAGAACAGCTTTCAAAGCTGTCTTAAGCCCCAAGGAGAGAGCACAGCTGCTGCCATAACCCCACCTTTCCAAGGACCACAAATGATATAAATACTGCAAACAAAATAAATAACTACTGTTTATGTGTAACAATAAGATTTTCTCTATGAGTGCTCAGGAAGTTTGGGCAGCACAAAACAAACCTATTCCAAGCACAGAAGCTTTGCGAATGCAGCTGTATCACTACAGAACACACAATTTTCCAAGGACATGTTGGAATAAACACAAATGTAAAAGAAAGGGTCCCAGAAATAAATCAAGGCTCCCCAGAGGAAGTTAAACCCTGCACAACCACACGCTAAAATATTCCAGTATGTTCCAAGATGAGGACATACTAATGCACAACACCCAAGTAAAGTCTATCAGGAACATTCGAAGAGGAAAAAAGCATGTGACAAATAGTCTAAGTAGGATTTTTCATTGTCCCTTATGTCACAATTGCCATATGAAGATTTAATTGCATGCTGCATACTGACAGAAACTCAAAGGGCTCAGCCTAGGACTATGTGTTAGTTCAGATAAGGATCGTTTAGCCTCCTCTATTTGCAGTTGGGAGGCTCTTGTTCCTTTTGCCTGCAACAGCTTTTTATAAGGACATTCCCAGCCACTGTGGTGCTGAAAGGGGACTCAGCTAAGATTTGTAAGTGAACTGGCCCTGCATTTGTAGAAACTGATAAAATCCTTCTCCTCTTTTCCTTAACAAAAACCATGATCTTGATGCTCCTCACAGTAATTACACAGCCTCTAAGCACCTGCTAAATGATTTACTCAATAGTGATAACAGTCAACTCTTATGCAACATTACTTTTTATCTGATTGAGTAAAACCAAGAACAGAGTGGCTTAAAGGTGCACCTCATTCACTATTTGGCTTCCCTGTCTTCTCCGAAAGGCTTGCACAAAGACCTGACTGAACATAATGAGTCTTCCCCTGCCTCATGGCTGCCAGAGCAGTCAACCTGCGTACGGCTTCTGGGAACTAGGCCACCACTGGCCCTAGACTACCAGCTTTTCAATTTCCCATATTTCAGCCCTCACTGTAAAATGGGCTCATAAGCTCATACTCCTTTGACAAAAAGTCAGTTCTTGCACAGCTTCTATTAAGAGAAGAAATGTTTAAGAAATCTGGACAGCTTACAAATGGCAAAAGCTGGGACTCTAGTTCCCTCTCCAATCCCACATGCCCATCCCAATAGTAATAAATCACTGTGTCTTTAAGTTTCCAACGAGGCAAACTAATTTTGGCAGATACTCAGAAGTGTATGGTTTCAAATGCAAATGCACAGGTTTCTTTTTTATTATATATATATATTGTTTTGTTTTGTTTTTACATGGCAGTTGACTGGCAAGAGATAGAAGGAGAGCTGTGGTACTTACATTTTTATTCCCTGAACTTTAAACTGGTTATTTGCACAGCAGTCTTTCCTGCTTATGTGAATTAGCAGGTAACATATTCAGCTCCACCTCTTTTTAATTATAAACTTACATACAGATCAAAAGAATCGTTTGAAAAATACCATAGCAGTCTTTGATACGGACAAGGAAGATCTTAAGACTTTTGTCAAGAAAGACAAAGGACACTGACAAGTGATTATCTCTTTCTGCTGTTGGAAGACTTGTTTGCAGACAAAATTGTACAAAACCTCCGAAATAACATCACAGATAAGCCCCAGAGGATGTTTATTTTGCCCGAAGCAAAAAGATTATGATGTTTGCCATCACCAGCATATCGCTAGAATCATAGTGTGACAGCACATCTGTGTAACTCTAGCCTGCTTGAAGCAAGGGGACAAAGGAACAGTAACACTCCAGGTGGAACCAAATACATTTAACCCGCGACAGAAATGTCACGCAGTGCATGAGGGGGGATGCCACAATGTTAGAGATCAGTAAACAAATCTATTCAAGCCTATCCAGAAATGATAGAACACTGAATTAATAATCCCAACAGCTAAAAAGAGGGGAGGAAACTGCTAAACAACATGTTGTGACTCAGATTGAAGAAAGAGCAAGCAAGCCATGTCCCCAGCTCTGGAAGGGCTTGTGAAATCTTACCTGCGTGATCCAGGACTGGGCTGTTGGCACCACAGGTTTGGTACAACGAAGCAAGGTCCTTTGGAATGTATGTTTTAAAGATATTTAAAATGTCCAAACGTTTCTCATGCCCATCTGATCCCAGATCCTGTTTGTTGGTGTGTAAAACCGAGGAGACTCCTGCTGCACCAGGCTGGGGCTGCATCAGTGGACTTGCTCGGGTCACGGCTGTGCAGTTTGCCAATGTCCTCATCTCATTCCCAGCCTTTATGTGAGACTCCCTCTGAGGCACCGATGGCTCTTCATGTTTAATGTACTGCTCGCTTTTGCAAAGGGGATGATACTGCGGCGGTGGGTTGTATTTGGCCTTCATGGAATCAGATGCACAGTGCTTACCTGAAGGGAGAAAACCAGTACTTCCCTGGGGAACCACGTACTTTTCCACTTGTTTATTGTTGGTAGGCTGCATGCTAGGCCTGGATATGACTGTCTGAGTAGGCGTTATGCTTCCACTATAGGCTCCCATTTGCATAAGTTTGGAATTTGTTTCATATTTATTTTTCAGCGGAGGCTGTTGTGCTGCTGTGCTGTATTGCTCCTGTGAATGGTTTACTTTGGGCTGTCTGTACCCATCCAGACCTGATAAGCAAGGACCACAGTGGCCAAATGCATGACTGTCCTTTGACTGATGCATACTCCCAGACTTAGCAGTCATCCCAACAGAAAGAGAACTGCTTTTGGACCCTGGTAATGCACTTGGCACTTGAGTACGTGTAAATCTGGCAACGGGCAAAGGCTGGCATTCCTTACCACCAAGAACAGGAGGGGGACCAGTACGCCCACTCCTTGCCAGGAAAACCAGGTTGTTTTTAATACTCTTGAATCCATTCTGTTGAACCCATGGGGGTACCATTGAGTTACAGCTGATTTTGTGCAAAATTCTTTTGTGCATCCACAGGACCTCAGGGTAGTAGGTCTTGTGACTGCAGAAAGGACATGGGTAGATAATTAAAGCAGCCTGCAAGGATATATTCAAATTTTTATTGCATGAATTATCCCTTGTTGATTTTTCACTCAAATCAAGTGGAGCTGCCTCTTCAGCTTCAGCACCTTTTTCTATCAGAGGATGCTCCCTGTGTAAGTCTAGTAAATTTTCTCTAGAGTGACTAGCTTGCATTTCAAGTGATGTTTTCAAGTCCATGACCATGTTTGAAGATGTCTGGCCCACACCTGAAACAAAGCCAGCAAAGTGACTGGAGCAAGGAAGTCCTTGGCTGTGGTGAAATGCTGGCATCTTTATATCTGCAGAACCTTTCAGATCCTGGTATTTCGAAAAGGGCTCCTTGATGACACTCTCCACTGTGGACATCAATGCTGGAATCTCTGGTTTAGATTCATTGGCCTCATTTTCTCTGGCATTGTGGCTTCCCAGCTTCGTAGTTTCCTCCAACTGAGATGTGACCATGGGCATTTCCTCTTCAGAAAAACTGCAGTGGTATGGCTTTTCATCTGAATGGAACAAACAAAAAACATAATTGTCACTTAATAGAAAAAGAAGTACAACAGACAAAGCAAAAATCAAGAATAAAGTAAGGTAGAAGGATAAAAGAACAACTTTGGAATTAGTATGTGATGTAGTAATGACATATTACAAACTAAATGTACTGTATAAGCAAGAAAACTGTGAAATAAGACACAACTGTTTGATTCCCTTTTAACAATCACTGTGAAGTCTGGACAACCTCTCTAATGCTGGACATTTTGAAGAAAAAAACAATTCAATAATATACTCACGTTAAAATTCTGTGACTAAGAAAGATAAACAAATATGCAGCCATTTAATTCTTTAACAAAAGCAAAGATAATGGAGCCAGATAAGACTGACCTAGTTAAAGGTCTGTCAGCATTTCCATTACAAGCCCCTATTTTCAAAGGGTTTATAACTCAGCAATAAAAATTGGCTCCACACTGAAACTAAGAATATAAGCAGATAGAGAGTACAGAATAAATTGCTCACTTAAGAGAGACTTTAGCAGTGGCCCAATATAAAAGATGAGTCACGGAGAACGTAAACTTTGGGTTTTCTGTCTGTTAGTTTAAAGCAGACACATTTTTATTTTAACATATGTTTATATTTTGAGTCAAACTTTAGGTAAATTTTATGACAGCTCAATCTACTGAGGGATAAAGAATTCATTCATTGTCAGCCACTGAGATTACAGAATTCAAGCCAGACTTTCAATTCTTCTCAGTTTCTCCTTTGCTGCTCAGCTCTCCAGAGCAAATTTATCTAACACACGTCCTGGAAAGGGAACATACTGGGCAGTAATTAAAGCAGGTTAGAGGGACGCAGAAGAATAGGATTTGTTTGCTTAGAGCGCAGCTACCTTCGCCCGCTAACACAATGCTTATCTCTCAGAGCTGCTGATAAAGTCGTTGAATCCCTCCAAATCAGTTCACAAATCAATTCCAGAGAGATTTTCATCACAGCAGTAATGCTTACTTCACTGAATCCATTTAACATGTAACTGAATTGAATCATCTGACAAACTTTCAGTTTCAATTAACATGCAGTTAATGAGCCTCTGCCTGGCAAGTGTAAAGAGACTATGCTCCATCTAAAATGCCACCAGTTCAAAGAGGAGTGGTGAGAATGGGAAAGGAGCAAACTGCTCTGTAGCATATCCTCTCCCATCAACTCATAAAAGCGCTTCAGAAAACCAAGTGCTGTTCCTTAGCAGGACGCAGTGCCACTGACATTCTTCTAAATGGCACAATGGAAGAAGCATGTCTCCTGGAGTTGGAGTTTCACTTCCAATAGAGTCTACTTAACCTCATCGTCAATTCAAAGAGAATAAATAAATAAATAAATCCCAAACCTAAAAATCACAGAATGGCCTGGGTTGGAAAGGGACCACAAGGATCATCAAGCTCCAAGCCCCCTGCCACAGGCAGGGCCACCAACCTCCACATTTAATACTAGACCAGGCTGCCCAGGGCCCCATCCAATCTGGCCTTGAACACCTTCAGGGATGGGGCATTCACAGTCTCTCTGGGCAGCCTGTTCCAGAACCTCACCACTCTCACAGTAAAGAGCTAAGTAATTAGGTTAAAAATAACCCATAAGATTTCCAGTCCTGCAGGGCTGAGCGCTCACTCTGCCAAGATCATTTTCCTTTCAAACTCTCCAAGGGGATAAACTCAGGAAAAAAAAACGTAACTCCCCCAAACTTGTTTTTCCTGTGTTGCAGGGGGCAGGACTTTGGGAAAGCACATGCCTGGCACTATTGGCTAAGTTTACCGTTTGAAACAAAGACGCTGCATGCAGCAGTGAAATCTGACACTGCACATCTGCGTTACTTTCAAAGCACATCTGTCAAAGCCCAAAATATCTGTGCTCCTAAATAAGATTTTAAGGCTTCCCTTTACGATCACAAGGAGTGGGTCCTTTGATCAGCGCAGTAAATAATGAAGGAAAGCAAAACCAAATCATTCAATTGCAGCAGCATTCAGCGGGGGCTGAACCAGCCTCCAGGCTAAGCTCAGCCCAGCACAGAGACATGGGAGGTGTGGAGCACCCCAAGTCTGCTGCCAGGGCTGAGGAGCCTCAGTGACTCCTCCATCCTCACAGTTGTTATCCCATCATTTTGGTCAACTTGGCTGCAATGAAGGTGCATGGCCAAGAGGCCAGCAGCTGTGGGGAGCTCTGCCTATCTGGTGCTCCTCAGTGTCTCCTGACTTTGTCCAAACCCACACACTGTGCTGTTTCAGCCAAACTGAATGAGGCAGACTGATGCTGAGGTATAGCAAGGTCTACGCCTCTAAGTCTGTGCTTAAGGAGAGGGGAGGATACAGATGAACAGATCACAGATCTGTGTGCCCTAACAGTTGTGTAGAAAGCCTGGGAGATGGCTACGGCCCTTTTTGGCCCTCCCAGGTTAGTGCAGCTAACAAGAAAAAGGGATTTTCCAGGTGGGAAATGTAGCACAGAATATGAAAATGGTGTTGGTGTTGGTGATGAGGTAAATCTGGGCACTCCTACAATGCTGACATCAGACAGTGCCAGTGCAACACACAAAAATCATAGAATCACAGAATGGCCTGGGTTGAAAAGGACCACAGTTATCATCTAGTTTCAACTCCCCTGCCATGTGCAGGGTCGCCAACCACCAGACCAGGCTGCTCAGACCATATAACACAGCTTCTAGCACCTTACAGTAGCATCTTGGTACATTCAGTTCTTCCAGCAGCTCGCACAAACAGTACTAAACATTATCAGAAATAATTTTAAAGACCAGAAGAGGAGCTTCAGAAGCAGAATTTGTATTAAATGCTTAAGCATTTAATAACAATTTTAGCTTCTAACAATAAAATGACAGAAAAAAATAAAATTCTAAAATCAGCACTAAACAAACACACTGCTACCTCTCTCCTCCATGATGTGCCCACACACAACCCAAGTCTCTATGGATGTCCTCTCATCTGCCCCAGGGACCCAACACCTACAGCAGGGCCAGGGCTGCCCCATCCCCACGGCGTGTTGGGAAGCATGGGCTGGGTGCAGCAGGCAGCAAGAGCTGGGGAAGAAGGGGAAATAGCACATTGCCCAGTAATAGCATCACAACCTTTTTAGAAAAATAGATGAAATTTATTTCTGCCCGCTCCCAGCCGCTTGCCCCAGCTGAAAAGGGGTACTAACAATCCTTTTAAATCACTGGTATAAAATATTGCTCTAACCAGTGCAGTGCAGGCATTACTGTCACCAGAAACTTTCGAGATTTTATTATGGCCAGGTCAAAGCAAAAAGTCATGAATGGGATGCCTTTTGCACAATCTCCAGGGACTATAACTCATGTTCCCCATTGAAAGACTTCTTGGCTAAGCACTCTCTCATTTTCTTCCCTTCAGTTTCTGTCATCTTCTTATTTTCATCTTAATTCCTTTGCTTATTACCCAAAACAGCAGTTTATCTCTAGTACTTGAGAGTGACAAAGGTCCTTTTGCCACAGCCTTAAAGTGTTACAGGTTTTGTGTGCTGCAGCCAGCTAGCCAGCCAACACTTGCAGCAGAGGAATTCTGTCAAGTGCTCAGGAAGAAGGTGGCTGCTGATGCCATCTCATGCCTTCAGTTTGAAAATAGCTTCAGGTATTGGTACTCCTAAATTAGATGTTAAAGCTTCTCTTTAGGATTTTTTGGACGTAGCTTAACATAAAACAGACCACAGCAGGACAAAGTAGAATTGCTTAAAACACTATATGGGAAGCACAGGTCCAGAAATACAAGAACACCTGGGGATTCAACCACTTCTTCAGAAACACACATCTGACTTCTACTCCTTAGTTACATATCTTACACAGGCAGACAAAAGAGAATCCAATTCCTCCCCACACAACCCCCTTCTTTCCTCTTCCTTCTCACAAGCACAGACTCCCGTTATTTCCTCCCAGCTCTGACCTTCTCAGAACCAGAATTCAGAATGGGCTGCACAGCTGTTTGAATTCATGAGGCTTCCTACACAGTAAACCAGGCTACATGCCTAAGGACAATGAAACCGTGATTTTTATTCAAAATCTATTCAGAATAGAATTCAGAACCATCTAGAAATTGGCCCCTTTTCTGGATAGCACTGTAACACAAAGAATTGAGGGAAAGGAGCAGATGTGATGTGTTTGATTTTCAGTAAACATCTGATAGTGATTTGCACTTTGATATGAATGCTATGACTTGATTTGGAAACTGAAAATAAATTCTGATAAAAGCAAAGGATAACATTGGAAAAAGGTGCAATATTGCAAAGATCTGTATGAGGTCCTATTTCACTTGATATTTTCCTTAATGATCCAGAAGAGACTCTAGACAGCATGCTAACTGAAGTTTCCAAGAAATACCACATTTGGAGGAACTGCAGAAATAATGGGGACAAGGAAGTAATGCACAGGGACTTGGAGAGAATAGAAATGCAGTCTGAAAATAATCAAATGAGATTCATTCTGAAAGAAAGCAGGCTAAGACAAGTGAAGGGAAGTGATCCAAAAACCCCATGCAGTGGGAGGGCAAAAGCTGGGATGGAGCAATGCCGAAAAGAACAGATGTTACAGGAGACAACAAGTTGTACTAGGTGAGGTTCTTCAGCATAACTTTCACAAACAAAAGCATGCTATAAAACTAAAACTACTCCTCTAAAAAGGACACTTAAGATGAAGGCAGTGCCAGCTGCATTGTTATACGAGCATTAAACATAATATATACACCGCAATCATCGGCAGTACGGAGTAGCCTGCATCAAGTACAGTCCACGGCAAGGGGAAGAGTCAAAAGCAGGTATGCAGTACAAAACTGTGGCATTTTACCCCAAGAAAGGAAGGTCCATCAAAAACACACCACGCTCTCAGAATATCTGAGCAGACCTGCAAATATGAACAAGTTTGGAGGAGTTTCAAAGAACTGTGACAGAAAAGTAACCAAGTATGACATAAAGATTAAGAGTAAAATGTCCCTAATCTCGCTGG